AATATATTGGTTTTTTTTATTTATTTTTTACATAGAATTTAAAAGTATTGCACAAAAAATATAAAATAGGCTTGATGTTTGTGTTTAATAATGTATTAAATATTTAAAAAAACATTTAATTTAGTTAAATACAATTATTAACGATTTTTTATTTTTGTTTTGAACGGGTTCAAGATGTCAACGTGTAATATTAATAAACATAAAAGTTACGAACATCATTTATAACTGTCCCTTAAGTCAATTGTCACCCATTTCCTTGACCTAGTTACCGTATTCTCTATTATTTGATGATATACGTATATTCTTAATAAACTATATTTATATTTAATGAATATACCTAACTATTAGTCATTGAATTGATCATTTTGGGCGGAATTGAAACATCTTCGAATAGTATAACTATTTATTAAATTAATGATCTGTTTAATACAGTAAAATATTATGATTGTAAGATTTATAGCTTATACATATATAGTCTAAGGTTTTTTTTTTAAATCTCTTATGTGGCATAGATTGTCAAGAAACTCGTCTAGTTTTTAAACTTGAGCCATCAGTTACAATGTATTATTTACTAGGTATATAATATAACTGAATTTCAAAAATGATTTATAAGGTTCAAACTCTTTATAATAGATATAGAACAAAAATTGTAAAAATTAAAATTTAATAATGAGAATAACTAAATGTATTCATAATATTTTGTGCAATAGACAGTTAAAACGATAATAACACATTATCTAAAGTCATTCATTGAATCAATACAATCAGTCAAGGATTATTAAAGCTATACATAGATTACCATGCATTGCGATGTATAAAATGTATGATAGTAAAATATAAGAATAAATATGGAATTGGGGAAGAGAAAATTCAATAAAAATTGAGAACAGAGAGAAAGAGTGCGCTTAAAAATAAATTAGTTGAAGAGATATCCATTTGGAATTTATTATAGATCAAATTTGAATTATAATTCAGTCAGGTTCATAGTTTTCTAAAGACTACTTTAACATGATGGCTACAAAATATTTTTATGAGAATGCTGGTAACAGCTTAAAAAATATTTATTTTTTTTTAAATTAACAAAAAAATATAATAGGTATGTTTAAATGTACCTAGTATAATATGTATGCATTACGCATATTTGGTTCTATAAAATAACTGTTTTTAAAAAAATGTAATTATATTTGTGATTAGTTTTAAATTGACAGTCATAGTTGTATTTAGGTATTCATCATGTCATTATAGATATATTTTTTTAATACATAGCCCTGAGTAAAAAATAGTTAATATATAAATTTGATGTAAGTGCATAAAATTGTTGGCATATTGATTGGTAGTGGCCATATTAAAATTGCATAACAAATTACATATAATATTTAGTTTTCAAACTTAAAAGTTTAAATTACAATCTACATATTATTATAATTCATAAATTAAAACTGATTGAAGTTTCTTAATTTAATCTACTTGGTCTATTATTTTATAGTTTTATATGTTTTAAAATAAATTGCCTACTACGATCATTTTGGATGACAAAAACTTAAAAAAAAAACCCGTATGAATACAAAATTCTGAAAAACCACTTTAGCTCATGATCCAACAAATTAGCTAATATAAATACACTTATCATAGAAAAACTAATAACCCCCTCCAAATAGATTCTAATAATCGTAATTATAATATATAATTATGATATCCTTAGTTTCACAAAACACATAATATTTTTTACTTAAAATATTTAATAAAGTATGATCTTATTAATTTTATAAAAACTATTATTAAGTGTCAGTGGTGTTCTCAGGAATTTTCAATCGGGGAGGGGGTTAATCATTATGACCTCCCCCCATGAGTACACCTATGGACGAAGTGTATAATAAATTAGGTATTTATCTATTTATGTTAAGCATGTCCATAGTTGATGTTAAAATAGTCATAATGTCAACAAGATATAATATCTACTAATTTAATTAATTTTAATTTTAATATTTTATTAATATTTGTGAATAAAAACTTAATGTAGGTACAAAAATTTTACGACCCATTATACAAGGATTTTAGTTATTAATACAAAACATGCACGATAATTCCACAACCATTGTATTAATCAAATTTATATTAATTTTCAAAACAATATAAAATTATTATAATAAATTAAAAATACAAATTTTCCACTCAATCATAGTGTTCTAATTGCATATTTATATACTCTATGATTGAATTCTGTTTTACAAATATAAAAAGTATTATGATATGGTAGGTAACAGGATTTAATCCTATTAAATCATAAGACATACCAACAACTAAAATATTATTATAGTTCTAGGCTTCTAGCATACCAAAAGTATTTTTTATCAGGTAGAGTAATTTATAAGCGACATAAAAGGAACCTATATAATGGTCATGAAATAAAAACTGTTAAACAATTACACATTAAAATACTATGATTATCTATACAGGTTATTGATACCATGTAATCAACTCATTAAAGAATTACGTGTCCATTAAGCAAACGACAATATTTTAATGAGTCACATAATGAATCATGGTCAATGAAAAATTTACTTTAGGTATTTTATTTTTATGTCTACCCACCGAGTTAATTTTCATATCGGAGCAACGTAATTATTATTTAATAAGTTATTTTGAAATATGAAGAGCTGTCAATGACAGACCGAATTATTTTGATCATTCTATATCAATATACATATATAGACATATTCGTAATAATAGATTATAATATACACGAGTAGATACAAATTGTAGAAAATATAAGTCTTACATATCCAGTATAAGATTTACAAGCTTACAAAAAAATATGCATACAAATATAGGTACTATTATGATTTTAATAGGATTTAATTGATTTAAAAAAAAATTGTTTATTATGCCTATTATACAGTTATTACAAATAGCGAAAATAATTTACTTTGATAAATTGTATAAATCATTATATTATTACCTTGTGTATTATCACAAGTAATCTCTTGTATATTGCGTTTTATATGAGACACACAATGTAAACTATAAGAATTTTAGGATTTCGTTGTTTTCAATGTACAGTATTAACGAGTAAAAACTCCCGAAAAACTATAAAAATTACCATAAAATTTGTTCTAGACAATACCTAACTATTGTTTGTTAGGATAAATAATAAATTGACCTAGTTTGATAAAATTTAATGTAGGTATAATGTATATACGTATACCTAGTACAGTAAATATAATATAATATAAAACATAATATAATATGTCCTTGAATTTCACGATATACATGCACAGACTAGTGAAGTAACAATTGAACATTTTAGCAATTAGACTATAGTTATATTCAATCAAACACCAATGTATTTGTGTGGAGCTGTGTATAACTCCTCACATAATATAGTTACCTATAGATTGAGTTTTTACTTAAGCAATTGAATTCGTATTTTTATCTATAAATCGGCAAACCCAGCTAACCGAGGTCATGAAATTCGACAAATAACGTAGGTACCTATCTATATTGAGCCGTCTCCCGACTTTTAATACACTTTTAAAAATTTAAATAATTTGTTAAATTTGACTATTATTCTTTTATTGATACTGAAACAAAATTATAATCCACTCTGTTAATAAAAATAAAAACAAACATGATATTATGATATTATAATATTATTATATTGTGCCAATACTATTAAATAAAAATACTTAGTCATATCGTGTTATGAACACGTTATATTATAGATGCTATTGCTATAGTATAAAAAAAATGTCTTATTTTATTCATAAGAATATACTTAACTAAATAATTTTTAGGAATTGTATCATCAAACATTTTCTACATTTTAAAAATATCTTTAATTGATTTATTTAATTTAAATAAACTGTGTAATTTAAGTGATGAATGTTTATTCACTAGATAATACAGTAGCTGGTAACATATTATATTAGCTGGCACAGTTTTGCTTATGTGTCTATGTATGAAGCATATTGCATTGGTGAATAATTTTATATTTATTATTTATTAACTTGCTAAAAATAAATACAATGCATTCAAGAAGAAAATATATTGATAGATCATCGATTAAACATTCAGAACTATACTAAAATATATTATATAAACATTAAGAGCCAGAAATATATTGCACACAAGAAAATAAATTTTATCTGAAAGATGATGAATAATTTCTCTTTGTTTGTTCGTAGGGACTCATATTTTTGTACCCAATAAATATTAATGTACAGTCCCATTAAATCGAAATAATAGAGTAGATGAAAACTGTCAGAATAAATTGGTTTATGCGAATTTATTTAAAGCTGGTCGAATAATATAAACCTCTACTTATTTGAAAGTTATTGATTGAAATACAAACAATTTTGTTCCCTGACGATATGCTAATCATGTTGTTTCGGATTTTAAACAATACCATGATAAAACGGCTGACAGATAAGAATAACAACAATATTGTTTCCCTTCAAGAAAGGGATTTTGGAAGTTCTGCGAGGGGATATCACTCTGATTAATAAATCGTCATAATAATGTTTCAAACAATAAACGTAGCACACAACTTGAATAACTACCAGGATTGGTTAGGCGATCTACCAAGGAAATATCGGTGGACCGCTTAAAGTTAAGGCCGGTCGTGTGAGTGTGTGAGTGTGAGTGAAAATAAATTCATGTTTAAAATACGGTTGGTCCACCTATAAGAACGTAATAATTATAGACGTAAATTTGGGCTTGTGAATATGTAACTGGGCTGCTTAGAAGTGAAAATCTCGATGGACCAATCCGGCTCTGATAACTGCGTATATAAATTATAATAGTATTTAATAATAATTAATTTAACTGAATTTCTACTCAACTTTTACATCATATAATACGTTATTCATGCGTTATTTGTGGATCCGATAATATGTCTACGATTATATTATAAAATGTAAATAAACGATGTATAGGTATTGTGTTAAATTTTGTTAATAATATATTATCAATCGTAAAGTCAACTCCACCACGAAACTTACCTTGAGGATTTTCGTAATAACCCCATAATGGCAATCCAATAGCCGTGGCGGCTAGTGCAAAACAGGCGAACCCTAGGAATGCCACCCCGGACGAATACAGCGCTTTACTCTTGTTTGGATCAGCCATTTTACTCCAAACCACATGATGTTTCCCGACGCTTCTTCGCCAGCCTCGCACACAAAACTGCAGTCGGCGTCATTCAGCTGTCCGATTTGCTCCACGTCCATCCATTCATTTTTTTAGCATACACTTCAGCCATGTCAACTTCCTGTACGTTGGTTATCATCTAAAACAATAAAGTTATTGTTGATAATATGTTTCTAAGTACGAAGAATTCATGTTTTCGGTTAGGTATAGGCATAGGCTAGGTATAGGTCTAGACAATCTGGGAAATATTTTCTTTGCTAGTTTGTTGAGAATGTGTATGCCAGTTATTATGAAATTATATAATGATATAATATTATCATTGTTAGTGATATAATTAAGTATTATTATCAACGTAGTACCTGGATATCTGAATTTACCTGCGTAATTAAAAACGAAACAAAATGTCAATCGCGACATTATAATGATCATTAAAATATTAAATAATAACAATACAATAATAATTGTCTAGTTATATCTAACATTCTATTATTGTCAAACATTCCCAGAGTTACTCCACACCCGTGTAAAAAAGTTGTCTCTGGTAAGTCACTCCGATTTGATGTGGGTTTGTGTGCGGTGTATAGTATAATATTATGTACTTACTACTTAATATTATAGATTGCATATGCCTACACAACATTATCGACTCTCTCTACCATCACGTGATCCCCGGAACTGGTTTTCACTCTTTATTGTATGCATTTTTATTTTTTTATTTATTTTATTCACAGTCACTATGTTATATTCCCCTTGCAGCCAACATGGCGGAATGTTTTCACAGATACTACCAATATCTCTGAGAAGAGTTGCTGTAGCTGCTGTCGTTTATTAAGTAAAAAAATATATTACAAGGAACTACCATCGTATCGCTGTATAGGCGACGGTGAAAAAGTAATGAGTTATTTTAGTTCCTACCTATATAATAATATAATATAATATAGTACCTGCATAAATAATATAGGTACTCGTATAATTCTGCAATATCTGCTTGTACAGAATGTATCTCATATAATATTTGTTATTAATTTTAATTTGGTACCTACATCATTGACCACTGTTAATTCATTAGTAAAATATTGTTTTTAAGTTACACTCGAATAAAAGAAAACAAATATGCCTAACACTGTCTTAAGTTCACGGTCACTGTAGGAAATAACTGTTTTTATATACACAAAACCTGTCCCATTAAAAACTGGAAAATGGCTGGACGTAGGTAGTATATTTTTGTGTATCTCACAAAGAGATTTGAAAAAATGTTTATACAAAATACATGACATACCTACGAGTTATTTAAAAAACCACGTTTAAATATTATACGAAAATTTATATTAAACACGATTATATTATAGGTACCTATCTGCATTCATGGTTTTATATAATTAATAAACTAATACGAATTCCAATACAAATTAATGATTATTGAGCATGAATACATTTTTCAAACAGCATACTATTTTATAAAATTAAATTTTTGAGTTCATAGTTTATAAATATAATTGTATGACCTACAACCTACATAATATAATACTATAAACTATCACTGCTTATATTTAGTTATATAAATTTATAAAAAAAAAAATAAGTATGAAAATATTTAGTAAGAACACCCTGTATAATGCATAACTATAATAATAGTCAAGCGTAAAAAAAAAAAAGAAAAAAATAGACGTGTGCGACGACGCGTTTGGTCTGTAGCCACTGTTGGTGAAAGTATTCTTTAATAATATGCTCGTGCGCCATTCATCAAAACGGAATCATAAAACGACCAAGACGACAAGGACAAAGACAAAATTTGAACACATGTCGTATACTTAAAAGTAAAATGTAAAAATTTCACACAAAACAGGCGATCTAGAAGCTAGAGTTGACATTGATATTTATTATTTATATATTAAGGAAACATTTAAATTATAATTAAGATTTAAAAATCTAATTAAATACAACGTAAATAGAGAACATACACATTACACACACGTAATTTTAATTCTAAAATGAGTGTGTACAAATTTGTAACATTTATTTATAATATAATGTATTTAAATTTTTTTGTAATAAAGAATTTTTTTAATTAAACTGTAAAAATTTTCCGGTGTTTAAATACAAACATTGAGTTTTAAAAATTATATACAGAAATATATAAATGACACAGACAAATTGCTGTTTTATATCTATTTATATTAAATTTTGTTTTTATATTAAACATTTTTACTACCTAAATGTAGTTTATTCTTAAAAATCTGTTTTTATTTATAACTGGGTGAGTCTTAACTACGCAATAATACTTATATTGGTACTGATATGAGACAACTTATAAATTTACTAAAAATGAAAAAATATTTAGTAATTGAACTAATTTTTCATAAAAAATCGATAGAATTGATTATTTAAAACTTCTTGAAAGTGTGTAAGTATGACAAATTTATGATATGATTAATTATATGGTAATTTAATTATCTGTGACCCCCAAAAATCTATGTATAAATGATGTAGACATTTTTATTGGTAGATTTACAACAATATTGTATTGCATTTTTTATCAATAAAATAAATGAAAAAAAAAAATTGTACAACTTTTATTAAATATTTATTTCATATAAATATACTAATACAATGACAATTTTACTATGTTACAATTAAGTTATAATTAAGCAAATAAATACGATTAAGTAAAATGATAAAATTATCATGCAAGATTTAACATCTACCTCTTCATTTTTCTTGTTAGGAAAATTATAACGGAGTAATTACAATATAATTAAATGCAATTAATTAAATTAAATTACATAGATTATGTTTATTTTTATGTTTACTTGCAAGTTATATAAATTATTATTATTATTATTATTTTTGAGACAGAGCTAGAGTAAAATACTTGGATATACAAAAATGACAACATAACTTGAAATTAATTTATGATGGTACATCGGTACCTAAACACTTTAAAACACTTTCATTACCTATTCCAGTTTAGAATATGTTATACTCAGAAAACGGTTTTAAATATAATTTAAATGAGTGAGTTAATTTACATGCTGGTTTCCGAAGACGATAAAATTGCTTCTCTCTGACACATTATAGGCGCGTGCAATTATAGGGTCTAAGGTACATTACATTTTAGTCATTTGACCCGATGAGTGTAATTTATTAACCCCAGCCCACTTGCAATGACATGGTTAATTGTCTATAGTAGGTATACACCTATATTAATATGAGCGATGTTTCGTTATGTAGTTTCAAATGCTAATTAATTATTATAACCACTGTTTTCTGTTTGTACTGAATAGTTTGTAACCAAATATCCAAGAAACGATTGTCTTCTATCATTAAATATCGATGACCAAATACCAAAGGTATATTAATTCTTGTCGTATTGTAAAAGGACTTAACATTTATTTTTACTTTGCATACTACGAGTTCCACGGAGTAAGTTATACATGCTTACTACACATATGCGTGATATAGCCATATAATAGTAATAGGTATATTTAAAATTGTAAAATATATAGTTTGAAATATTACCTATTGTATTGCATTATAGACCAATTCTAAGTATAGATATATAAGTAAAAAATAATTTACTACCTACTGTATTTTATTTTATTAAATATCCGTTTATATGTCAGTCATAATTTAAGAATAACAATAATAAACTTTATTTTTAAAAACAATAAATGTTTAAATCTTGGTTAACTTATATCACATTGCATATTATATTAGTATATTATAAATATTATAGGTACTTAATATTTATTATTTATTTAATAATTTAACAATATTATGTTTGTTTAATATTTTTTTTTATTTATTTGATTTTTATTTACTTAATATTAACTATCAAATATTATAATTATAATTTAAAACAAATTAAGTATATTTAATTTATAGTTTTAATTCGTATAAATCTAACTGGATATATTTTACTTTTTAATTATTTATAGATATAGAATTATTGATATTATATTATTGTATGACTATGACCTATTTTATGTTTTGACCGAATTTCGTAATCAATAAAATGTGGGTTATAAAATCTTATAAAAAATAGATTCGTACCAAGAAATATATTATTATTATATTTATTCTTATTATAATATATTATATAGTCTTTGTTTATCACAAAAAATAACTCATGATTCATGAATGACCTACTATTATCTTTATGAAATAAAGTATAAACATTACAATTGTTGACACAGACAGCCTAATTAACAAGTTATTTTATTTCTGATAACAATTACTATTCCGATGAAACTATTTCAATACAAAAAAGTGTATTAAAATTATTTTTTTAATAATGTATAATATTACGAATACGTAGGACGTAGGTATCTAATGGTATATGATGTTTTGATGATATTGCCATCGTTAAAATAGTCTTTAAAGCAATTTACTAGGATGATTGTGACATTGAAATAAATCTTATAATAATTGTCCTCAATTTATAGGTTGTTAAACCCATATGCAAATTATGAACAGAAGAAATATAGTTCAATCAGAGGTGAAAAGAAATAAAATTATATATACTAAACACTGTTTAACCAAACATGAATACTTGGCTGTCTACTAAGTACTAAATAGTCCACTATACTGATGAGGTTAACTTTTAAACTTTAATGATAAGTTATTTACTTAAAATATAAAAAATATAAAGATATTAAAGATTTTAGATGCATATTTATTTGTATTTAAAATAATTGTAAATTACAATGAATCAATAATCAACAAAAATGTTTTTATCGACATTTTTTGAAACACAACTAAAAAAAAAATTGAAAATTTCTTATGCCTATAAATACTTAAAAAAAGGATCAAAATTTAATGTGTATAGAAAATGCTAACATAAAAATTCAGTGAAAATATTATGTATCCACCATTATTTTTCTTTAAATTACAACAAATAAAGAAAATCGTTTCATGAGAAATCGTTAGTTAACGAGTAGTCAAAATTAATTACTTCCCTGTTTCCTTTTTTTTTTGTT